GTGGATAATTACTCCTAACACGGCACGTGATTAAACACACTGTGGACGATGGGCGAACAAAGGAGCGAGCGGACATTTATGCAAATCCTCCTGGCTTTCGCGCCGATCCGATATGCAACGTTATAACCCTCTGCCCTTGGATCTCCATTATTCGAACGTGTTACGTACTATTAGAGAAGTTTATAAACGTTAGTGTTAAGCTGCGGATTTTCATGCGTTTGCGAAATATTGCAGAAATGCGATGCAAATGTGTAAAATATATAAGGTACATAATAATTGCCATGATAGGTGTTTAATAGTCTGCCTGGCCTCCATTTTTCGAATCGTCTTCACAGAAGTATGAAATCACATGGCTATGATGATAATTTCCATATATTGTATTGTTATATTATTACTATTATAATAGTTCTCATGGTATTTAATATTCTAGGCTACGTTTTTCGAATCACACCTTCACAGAAATATAAAATTACACGATCCGCAGATTAAAATAAAATAAACTATAATAGTTCTCATAGTATTTAATATTCTACCTAGGCTCCATTCTTCGAATCATCAGAAATATAAAATCGGATAATTATCCGCAGATAAAATAAAGTATAATAGTTTCCATGGTATTTTTAAAATAAAATAAACTATAATAGTTCTCATAGTATTTAATATTCTAGGCTCCATTTTTCGAATCACCCTCGCAGAAATATAAAATCGGATAAATATTCGTAGATAAAATAAAGTATAATAGTTTCCATGGTATTTTTAAAATAAAATAAACTATAATAGTTCTCATAGTATTTAATATTCTAGGCTCCATTTTTCGAATCACCCTCGCAGAAATATAAAATCGGATAAATATTCGTAGATAAAATAAAGTATAATAGTTTCCATGGTATTTTTAAAATAAAATAAACTATAATAGTTCTCATAGTATTTAATATTCTACTTAGACTACATTTATCAAATCACACAGATATAAATATAAAATTACACGAACATCCGCAGATTAAAATAAAATTAAGTATTTAATATAGTCCCCATATTATTTAATACTCTATCTAGGCTCCATTTTTCGAATCGCAGAAATATAAAATCGCAGATTGAAATAAACTAATGTATGATAATTCCCACAGTATTTAATATTCTACCTAGGCACCATTTTTCGATTCATCTCGACAGAAATATAAAACCGCATGAACATCCGCGGATTAGAATAAAATACAATAAAGTATTCAATACAATCCCCATATTGTTTAATATTCTATCTAGGCTCCATTATTCGAATCACCTTCGCAGAAATACCCGCAGATTAAAGTCACGTTAATGTAAATTGTATCGAAGGGACAGGCGAAACGTAAACAGACGAAAACGAAATTGGAATCGCGATTGGCAATGGGGAACAACAATGAAATCGGCGCCATGATATTTCGATATCGATAACATATCCGAATGGCCAGGTACCGTCATCACGGTCGAAAGATTCGAGAGAGAGAGAAAAAGGAAAAGAAGAAAACCACGAGCGGACACACACATAAACACAGAAGAGCATGAGAACGCGAGCGTCGTTTTCCAGTTCAGTGCCAGTCTCGATATTGCACGCTACGTTTCATCTGCCGATGTCTGCGCGGTGTACAAGCATATGCGCGTAGATAGGAAGTGGAGGATTCTAGCGTCGAAGGATGCGCGGTTCGACGGTGGTCAGGATGCCGGCGACGTGAAGCAGCAGCGGCACGTAGACGACGATAACGCGGTTTCATTGCGTCGTGGCCCGATCGAATGGCAACATCGTGGCCAACGAACGCCGAGGCGAAATCAATTAACTCGGCCACGTGTGTGGACGCACACGAACCTGACCTCCCGTTTTCCATTGTACGCGGCCGTAGTAGTACGTAGTAGTACAACCTACAGGGAGAGTTACGTATACATATATATATATATATATGTATATACTGTACGTACGTTCTCTCCGCGCGTATACAAGCAGCGTTATCCTGAACGAGCGCGGGCCTGTACCCGCGTACATTAGCCGCGTGGGTTGCCATGGGCAACCCATGACTAACACACGTCCCAGCATCACGTGTCTCTCCCTTGGTCTGTCCCTTTCTCTCGCGGTTCACTCCAGTGCCGTCACTAACCGGGGGCCACTGCCCTTCCCTCTTTCATCAATCTTCTCTTTTCACCTCTCGCCGCTCATTTTCTCAGACATATATTTTATGTTAAAAAAAGTCGCACAATTCGATAGTTTCGGTCTTGCAAAATTCACCCGTTGCACAGTGAGTAATATCAATTTGCTTTCTTTAATTTTTCAAGTGCTAGTGATGGATTTAACATTTAACATTTAACACGATTGAGAGACATTGATGAGCAACGTTTAGAACGAAATATATTCGCTAGTCGCTCCTATTCGTCCTGTGTGTGTGTGTGTGTGTGTGTACGTGTTCTTTCAAGATATTTCGCTTCTTCAAGTGCCCTAGCCCCATCGAGTTTGCTCCTTTTCTCCTTGTCTTGTTCTTATCGTGGCATACTTGCCATTTTCATCGTCCCTCTCTCTTTATCTCGATGGTACCTAGCTCAGGGATGTACCGCGGCTCATTGCGACTCAACGGCGCGTGATTTACAGGGACATGGCTCGCATAGTATGTATTATTTCACGAATTCGCGTGATGGAACTGAATTATCGATTACTCGAATCGTCGTCGACCACTCTGTTTTATTATCCTCGAGTGGGCTCCTCTTTTTCAATTGCCGTTCAAACCTCCTCGATGGTGAATCCATCGTTTTTTCAACTTGTTTAATGCGATGCTACGAAATCAAGGAAACTGTCATGATACAAATATCGAAAAGAAACACAGAAAATAAAGAATTTCTACAAGATATTTTTGAACGTAATATAATACAGATGATACAAATTTAATCATCAATGTATGCTAAAAAGTATACTGCTCACAAAAATTAGGAATATTGCAAGAAGCATTTGACTTTTTCTTATTAAACAAGAACATCAAAAAAGCAGAATGAAATGCTTTTTTTTTTTTATCGTTTCATATTCATTTTTGGATGTCCCCTAATTTTTGTGAGCAGTGTATGTGAAATTTCTACAAGATATTTTTGAACATAATATAATACAAATGATACAAATTTAATCATCAATGTACGCTAACAAGTATACTGTTCACAAAAATTAGGAGATATTGCAAGGAGCATTTGATTTTTTCTTATTAAACAAGAACATTAGAAAAGCAAAAGAACCAGAAAAAGCAGAATGAAATGCTTCTTTTCTTTTTATCGTTTCATATTCATTTTGAGATGTCCCCTAATTTTTGTGAGCAGTGTATGTGGAATCTTCACTGCAACTACTTAATGATTTTATTATCTTATACCCCTCGTATATTCGTTCCATCTCTGAACCAAAAAATTTCTTGGTTCGCTGAACGAAAGCTACAAGTTCAAAAATCAGGACGAATTCCAGTACCGAACCTCACCACTTTCAATAAAGAAGTGGTTGCTACCTCTCATAAATAATATCACTGTTGTCGGAACAGGGCCCCCCCTTTTCTCGTGAACGATTCTTTCTTATCGGTAATTTGTACGAGTCTCCGTGTGATAGATGGCGCGCGGGTGCAAGTGCGAAGAGATGAAATCCCTGGCGCTAGGGGAAAAAAAAAAAAAAAAAAAAAAGAAAGAAAGAAAGAAAAACCTCCACTATTTCTGGTATCCCTCGGGGCGTTAGATCCAGGGTCTCGACTGAAAACGGATCGTCCCTGAACTCGCGGCAACTCCACGGCGAAAGGGAAGGGGTCATGGAACTGCGGAGAGGGAGAACAGAGACGGACAATTCCCGGATGGCGGCGGAGGAGGAGGAGGAAGGACCCCAGGAGCGGGACGAGGTGAAACGAAACAGGGATGCGGCTCCTGAACAGAGAACGAACTGTATACCGACTGAGAAGTGAGCGAGAGAAGAAGAGAGAGATAGAGAATTATTCGTAGCCACCCTCGTTACGCGTGTACTCTTCTTTTCTCCTCTCTCTTCTTCACCCTGCGTCTCTCTCTCCTCTCTTTTCCTCTTTCTGCACGGCTCTGTCCAGCCGACGGGAGATAGTTGCCGTTTTTCGTTCCCTTTTCCCTATCCCTGTGGAAAAAGGGAGAGCCGCAGCGAGCAAGGGGAGGATGGGAAACGCGGCGAAGGAAAGGGAGGTCAAGCAGAAGCGCGGAAGAATAGCGGCGGAGGAATGGTGGAAGTGGTGGTAGACGAGGGAAATAGAGTGGAGGCTAGAGCGACGGCTAGAGCGTGCGAGCGCCGGGAGGGAAGCTGTACGAAATATAAAGAGGACAGCTTGGTCGCGGTATAATATATACGACGAGGCTGCTGAAAGAACAGAGAGAGAGAGAGAGAGAGAGAGAGAGAGAGAGAGAGAGAGAGAGAGAGAATGATCGAGCGAGGGGGCGAGCGCTGGCAAAGAAACAGAAACGAAGGAAACGAAGAGGGAAAACGCGCTGGAGCGACAAAGGGCGAGAGGAAGATAGCGCAAGGGAATAGCGTGCCGCGCACGGCGAGGAGAGAGGTCGCTGGAGGAACGTTCTAAAGCGGAACCAAGAAGAGACGACGAAACTGGCAGGAGGAGAAAGAAGAAATTAAAGGGAGAAAGAGGGAAAGAGAGAGAGAGAGAAGCTGGAACGAGAGGAAGATAAACGCTAGGTCCGACGAATCGTCGGAGGGGGACGGGAAATATGATGTGGCTATGAGTAACCGGGAAAGAACGACGAGAGAAAGAGGGTGGGAATAGTTGGTAGGAAGAGCACGAGGGAGAGGGACGAATGATTCGGTGAAAAGAGCGAGAGTGAGCGACGAAGCATGAGGCTTTCGGGGATACAAGAGAGAAAGTTTCCACGGAGAGAGAGAGAGAGAGAATGAGAGAGAGAGAAGGGAGACGGCGGCAGCAGGGACGAGACAGAGTGCGCCCACCAAGCCGCCTCCATACCACCTCCAGCATTCCCGGCCTGCACACACAGTTGCAGCTGCACCGCCGCCGTGGCTCGCTCGTGTGCACACGCGAGACTGCGCGCGCGTCCGTCTCTCGCTCGCAATCATCTCCTCGTTCGCCGGTACGCGGACGTTTATTAACGACGCGCTCTCTTCTCTCGATATTCAGCTCTGCGAGTTTTTACTCTCGATAGGAGTGTGTCGTGCCGCGAGACCTAGCCCCAGCCCAGTTTCCCTCGTGACTGGCCTGCCAACTGGAGGATTCTCTTCTCCGCCGAGCCATCGTGTCAAAGTTTCTGTCCAAACTTCCAAAAACTTGCTTCCAACGATCCTTTTTTTTTTTATTATAAATCGTTTTGAGAGTCTTCCGATGAAATCAGTGAGACGTACAGTGTACTGAGCTTTTTGGAGTTTGTCGTTATCGAAGAATATCTATATATATATACGTAATCGCGCGATTTGTGCACGTGTGCATAGCAGAACGATATATCGGAGCTTGGAGCAGCTTGATTGGTAGCGCCACGGATACGTTACACACAGTCGAGTGGAAAAGACTCTGACATTTGACAAATATCAGCGACAGCCGCTGGCGGAGAGGCTGGTCGCGCAATCGGAGCGTGGTTCTTGATAAACGATAAGGAAAAGCGGTCGTTGTCGTCGTCGTCGTAGTCGGTTGATTCTCGCGTGCGGTGTTCTCCGCGTACGATCGAATTCGTGAAGAGAAATGTGATCTCGCGTTGGGAACGAGGAAGGAAACATCATCCGTGGAGAGGAAGCATCAACCTGTTCGGTCGCCAAAGGCACGAAAAAGGTTGAAGGATGGACTGGATGAGGAGGCAGGACATTAAGGAGGAGTCACCGGAAACTCCTACCGCTCTGACACCGGATGAGCCTGACGAGTGCTACTTCGAGGAAGACACCTCGATAGACGAGGGCATGGTACGTGATTCGCGTGGCTATTGCCGCTCGTTTATTCAGACACGAGCTTCTTTTGAAAATCCACTCGAGTAGTATATATTTATAAGAACGTAGTATTGTATCTTTTTCTAAATGTCTAAATTTAGGAGCGTCTCTGAAATAATTTTGGAACGTTCTCCTGTACAATGTTGCGAGTTTAACACTAAACGTACCAACCGGTATAAAAATTCCATTTTTCACATTCTGCATTCATTGTCACTTGTTTCGTTCATTTAACTCTCGTATAAAAAGGATGAAAATGTATAATTTCTTCTCTTGTCTAAAAAGAAAGTTACACTGTTGCCTACATTAAATTGACAGTTGCACTATTTTTGTAAGAGGACCTTTGATCGGTTATGATAGGAATAGGTATACATAAAGCGCTGGCAGATTTAGTGCCAAAGGAAAGATTTAGCGTCTGAAATAATTCTCGAGCGTTCTCCTATGCAATGTTGCGAGTTCCTAGGGATCTTGCAACGTCGTTCATTCACAACTTTTGAACTTTCCTTAATCCGTCAGGTAGAGAAACCAGCACGATGGAAACCGGTCCTTCGAACGCGGTCCTCGTAAAATCGCCAATTCTCGATTACGTAATCGCGTATGTGGTTCGTTCGACGCGAGAGTCACCGTACAGTCTCTGTTTTATTAATGGAAACGTCTGCACGTTAATTTAACGCGTCGCCACGCACGGCGAAACGTTTCGAAAGTTTGCTCCGATCTTCGCGCCGATCTCGTCGCCCCCCGGGCGACTCGCGTCGATTTCAATGGAGCTACGCAGGTACCTGAATTTTTCCATTTTCCAAGGGAAAAGTACCTCGATCCTTGTGAAATGTGCATTACGCTCGCTAGATAGAAAGAACACCTAAAAATCGACGTGTCTGTCTGACGCATTCAATATTCATCTGTTCTAAATATATTTAATTGCAATCACTTCTCGTTGTTCCAAATGGAATATTTTTCAACTAACGATAGTTTTAGTTGGCATGAATCGAATTTTCATTCGTCTGGACAACTCGACTACATTTTATTTTCGTTCATCTCGTGGTAATTATCGCGAAATCTACGCGAACATTATTCAAACGAAAGAGACTTCTTTCTTCCGGTCTTCGCGAGGGAAGCTTGGAACAGAGAGAGAAAGAGAAAGAGAGATAGAGAGATTCACCGGCCACGGATTTAGGTCTGCCATTAATTTTCCTTTATCTCACCTTGACCCCTTCCCTCCTCGCCCCTTTTTAATCTTTACGAGGCTGCGCGAGGTAAGAAGTTATTACGACGCTTCCTTCCGGCGAGGAGCGCCGTAATTGTTATGATTTTTGCGGCGATGTTGCAGCCTGGCGCAAGGCTCTCTTCTCCCGTTGCTTTCAAATGGATCTCTGTCTCGAAGTTGTGAAGGAGTTACATTACCACCCGCCAGAATGTAATATTTCAATGGAACGAAAATACGATATATATATATTTCTCCTTGGTTGTCTCTCCTCTTTCGAGAACAATTCGTCGAGGATAACTTTTACGTTGGAAAGTTGGGGTTTACATTACTCGGAATGAAATTGAAAATAAAGAAATCCAACGAAGGTATTGAAAAATCAAATCTTCGATCGTTAGGCGTTAACGTAACGGCTAACGTAAGAAATTTACGCTGCGTATTTATAATAATCGTACCTTTCACGTGTTTTTATCAATTTTCAAAACATTTTACAATGATATCGCTTTTACTGTCTTCATCGTTACAAAGAATCGGCGTTGCTTCTACGCGTCAGTTTCAGATTTAAAAATTGCTCAATTTTCTTCGGCTGATATTTGAATAGATTTTGAAAATTGATAAAAACACGTTACGAAAACGTACGATTACTATAAATATGCGGCTAGTAAATTTCTTACTCTTAGCTAAACGATCAATGATCGTATTTATCAGCCGAAGAAAATTTGTTACTTGGAACTTCGCACAAGCTTCACAATGTGATCACGTCTGAATTGGGTGAACGACTATTTCAGAATTGGAATTAGTGGAAAAACAGGATTCGTTTCTTCATACTTGAAATAACAACACAACAACAAGTCCAAGCACACGTGAAAGTGTCGATCATTCTCAACCTGTTCGGTACGACGGCCATGTACATATGCCGTCACCATGAAAACAACGAGTCTCCAGCGACAATCACGACGCACGATCACGGACGAAATCTCCGGTAGATCGTTCGATTTGGCTAACGATACACGCGGCGAAATGGTGAGGCGTCGCGATTTCGTCGCGTCGATGGAGCAGCAGCGTCGTCTCGAGTTACCTCTTCGGGTAATTGGCACGCAGGGTGGCCGAGGAGGCGTGCAACGGCCGTTAAGGGAAATTCGAACACGTGTCGCGCTCAACCCTGCCCTCCGGACAGGGCGCGAACGTTGCAGCGGGCTTAAGTGGGCAACGAGAAAATGGTCTGGTAGTGTAAAGTTACCTCGAATCTACAGTTACGGGCATTGTTGCGGCCGTTCTGTTGCCTCTGAAGTGGCTGCTTGAATTACGGTCCTGAAGCCCCCGGCTCGATGGAGCACAGGGGGCCGCCGCTCTCGTCTTGTGTCTGCACGAGGCTTAATGCGTGCCCGCGATATAAACATTTAACGCCGGCTCTCGCGAGAGATCGATAGTTTGATCGTAATGGGCTTTGAAACGCGTTCCGATCAATAGGGTTCTGTCGGTCGTTCTCGGTTGCGCAAACGGACAGAAAGAGAGAGAGAGAGAGAGAGGGGAGATTCGAGAGCCGAGCCGATCTATCTACGTGTGTATGTGCCTGCGCGAAGCGTGCGTGTGCGATGTGGCGGTTTCGCGTTTGCAGTTGTGTTTCTGGCTTAAGGCGATTTGCATCGTTGCGCCGAACAACACGTTTCTTCCCCCGCGTGTATGTAATCGCTGTTTTTTTTTTTTTTTTTTTTATTCTGACGCGTCGTTCTTCTTTTCAGGTTAGAGATTCAAACGCGAAGAGTTTGAATTACCTTTACATTTATCACTAACAATAAGATAAGTCAACTCGATCGAACGTTCATCGTTCAAATCATCCAATCTTAGAAATCGTGGAAACACAGAGTGTTTGCATCTTTGTAAAAAAGAAGAAAGAAAAAAAAAGGAATGCTGTCACAAATCAGGCTAATTAGCGATGGTAGCCCGCATTGGGTTATCTGTTTCGTGTTTGGCGTTGTCACGCGGCAGATAAGTCGAACGTGGATCGGCTTTGCCGTCCGGTTATCTGCCTACCGGCGAACACCGGAAGTCACGTGAGTTCTGGCAGCCTCTGCCGAGCATCAGAGACCGGCACGGGCCGATCTTATATTTTTTCCTTGCTAGAAGTCCGACCACGATGAGAGGAAGCGATAAAAGTCGGCTTGGAAGCCGCCTCGGAAACCTTGGCAACGCCGTGTTTCTAAGGATGATTCAGCGCCAGCTGCGTTGACCGAGGGCCGTCTAAAACTTTCCCTCTCTCTCTCTCTCTCTCTCTCTCTCTCTCTCTCTTTCTCTCTTGCCTGCCCCGAAAATTTGTTAGTCAAAATCGAAGCAAGAGGTGGACACACGATCGATCCTCTTCTTCAACAGGCACGCGCACCTCATCGAAGGCCGCTCTTTCGTTCGCAAGATTTACAGCTCGCCGCGACTAGCTGCTTTTACTTTTTCTTCTCGAACGATCGCTCCGCGGGATTGGCTCCGTCGTTTATGAACCACCGCCGTCTCGTACTCCTTGTCGAAGTAAATCACGCTGTGTCGCGTGATTACCCGGCTATCTCGTGTTTCACTTCTTCCCCCCCCCCCCCCCCCCTTGGCTCGTTGCGCACGGACAATGCCGCACGAAAACAACTTTTCGACGGTCTATCGTGGGCGGTTTGCTGCTCTGTAGTTGGAGTATCGCCGACGAAAAAGGGGAAAACGTGTGTAAAGGGAGAGAGAGAGAGAGAGAGCAGCGAACGATCCAACGAGTCGGGCTATTAATATGCCAGACTGAAAATCTGTTACCATCGTCGACGATCGGTATATATTTCATGTATCCACTCGTGTGGCCGACTCTCTAACTAAACTCAAAAATCCACCCCGTCGGAACATCAAACGTCCCTCCGGTACAATCAGCAGCCCGCGCAGCCGGCGCGCGCCACCAGTCGAGGAGTTGCTAGTTAAAACAATTTCCACGAAAGCGAAACGAGGTAGGATGACAGCGTCGAATCGGCGAGTATCCCGGAGATGGAGGGAAATATAATTTCAATCGCAGAGAGGGAGTCCGTAGGCAGCGTGGCGCTGCGGGCAGAGACCAGGGGGGATGTTGGCGACCAGTCACCGTCGCTGTTCACCCTCTCCCCTTGTCTCCACGATGTGGGGGATGAAGCATGACTCACCACCAACCCCGTTTTTTGGCTGTCTCGTGCCGAGAACCTCTCTCTTTCTCCCTCGCGGATCAAACGAAACGAGGAGGGAACGAGCATTATCATAATCCGTGTCGACAGCCTGCAGGGAAGAAGAAATAAAGGAAAAAAAAAAGAAAAATAAAAGCACGGAGTCAGAGACGCGTTCAGGTGTCGTTCGTGTGTCACTGTTTGTCACGCTCGTCCCGAAAGAGTCCGAGTCATCGTGACTCGTCGAAGGGGTGGGATCGTCACGGACGAGCAGATTGCTTTGGAAGTTAACGCGACGGCTCTAATTCCTATTTGCGGAGAACGAGAACGGTCAAGGGAGAGAAAGACTACTTGGCTGATCCGTCACGTACCACCGGCGGGACGTACCACACGTCGTTCCTTTCCTTTATTCGTAGCTTTAAATCAACGAGAGTCGGCTCTCGCGGGCAACCTCGGATTTATCGACTGACCTTCGCGAATATTCTGATGAATCGTATGGAAGCGGAAGTATTAAATCGTGTGAAAGTGTGAAAACATTTTCTGAAATGGATGTTTAGATTATCTGAAATGAAAATGAAGTCTATACTGGAAATCTTTTCTCTCTTAATCCGTTGACTCCTACG